CCTCTTCCTCTGTGGGATCAGGACGATGGGAAGCTGCAGTCTGATCCCTCCTCTCCTCCAGCCCGCCCGCCCAGTCGTCTCGCCCTGTGTCTCCTGAGCAGATTCAACCAGCTCCACTGGACAATGAAGTACAGAGCTTCCAAAGCAATAAAAACTTGAAGACATTTACAACAAAAAACATTATTATGTATTTTGTCAGGGTCTGTTATGTGTCAAATACTCAGCTAGTTTGTTTGGTCTTTTTAGGGTTCTGTAGCATTCCAGCTTGTGTGTCCCAGTGGGTGAGGTAGAGTTGTCTGCCTTGTGTTGTGATTTCATGCTGTTTAAGCAGTGCTGTCCTGAGGCTGGCTGGTGTCAGTGAGCTTCAGGACCAGCTGGCTGGAGGGGGCTCTTCTCTGAGCTCAGCTCTTGGCTCAGAAGGGCCTTGTAGTGGTGGAAATTCTGGTCACTGTTTCTCAGGTGTAACTGAGATTTGATTGCTCTCTTCTGTGTATTGATTAACAATGAGCATTGGTCTGATTCTGGCCTGCCTGTGTTGTTAGGTGTGTTTCATTGCACAAAGATGACATTTCTACAGAACTCTGTGTGCACTATGGGGTGTTTGTCCCATTGAGTGTAATCCTGGTCTGTGAGGGGACCCCACACTACACTGCCGTATGGAGCAAAGGGTTGGGTTAAACTTTCAAATCATTGTAGGTAGATTTTGGATAGGGGGGTTGATATTGTAGTGCCTCCTTCTAAAGGCATAGAGAGCCCTGCTCATCTCAAGTCTCATCTCATCTTAACTGCTGCTCTGCTGACTCTCTCCTCCCTCTCAGCTGCCCTGTCAGCTCGGTGGAGAGCGGCTGGCCATGTCCGTGGAAGCTGAGTGCTCCCGGTTAGACTCGGCTGGGAGGTGGAGCAGGTCTCTGAACGATGTAGAGCCCTCTCCTCCGCCAGCCTCTTCGTGGTCTGACCAGAGCTGCTCAGTCTATCGAGCCCCCTCCCTCCGTCAAGTCCGAAGGTGCCGAGGAGGTAGAGGAGCTGGTGTGGTGACGTCGGCGCCCTCACTGCGCGTAGCAGGGTCCTCAGGGCTGGGGGAGGTCTCTTCAGCTCGCGCGGTTGGTGCCCTTTTGCGTTACACCGGAGACCTGGGTTCGCGCCCCAGGTGTGGGGGCGGCGGGGGGCACGACCCCACGCGGAACCGTGACTGTCGCACCAACACTCCCCTCCTCACCCTTGGCTCTCTGGCGCCACGTCCTGCGTCGTCTTTCTGGGACCGGGTTCTGTCTTCATCCTATGAGATGACGGAATAAAGATGTGCAAAGACTGTGAAGTGTTCAGTAAACCAAGTGTTCAGGTAGTGCAGGCTGTAGAAATGTCCAGTCGGTGCTGTGTTCGGCCTACAGGGGACTGAAGTGTTAATTTGAAACGGCCGCTCTTCCTTGTCTGAGCTGTAACACAATCCTAATGACACCCCACTCACTTCTAAAGTGATTTGACATTACAATCAGATCAACCGGCTCTTTACAGTCTATTATCTCTGTCTCTCCATCCCTCTGTCTTCTTCTCTCTATCTCTCCATCCCTCACTCTCCTCCTCTATCTCCTCTCACCATCACATTTGTTTGAATTACTTCAGAGTCTTCCTCCGTTCCTCAGGCTGTGACAGGAGATCACAAACTGGGCTGCCAGTTCAACTGAGTTCCCTCCTCCCTCTCCCAGTAGGATTGGGACCTTGTTGTTATTCTGGCAGGTGTGGGAATTCTGGGATTAAATGTGTAAATTTGGGGAAGATAGATAGATAATACTTTATTAATCCCATAGGGAAATTGATGTTTCTCTAATCCCAGGAGATCTCTCAAAGTGCAGTAGGAAGTGCACCTCTGTCTCTATTTCTCTATTTCAGTGGGAGCACAGCCTGTCCTCTCTGGACAGTCCGGTCTGTCTGTGTCTAGTTTCTATGGCCAGGCTGTGGTCACTGAGCCTGTCCTCTCTGGACAG